CACCCGACCGAAGATGTTAGAGGAGGCGAAGGGGGGTTGTTTTTTGCCCGCTGCCTATTTCCATGCCTGTCTTTCCCTTGTCTTAATCCTTTAGGAAGGAGACGCCAGGCAGACAGACCTTTCCTGGAGGGGCGATGCTGCCGAGCCCTGCCCCGGGCAGAAGAAAGCCTTTGCCGCCGGGACCCCCCGGCACCGGAGATGCGCGGCCCGGGGCAGGCTGCGGGAGAGCGTGAGGAGCTGCCTCCGCCTGCGCTTTTCTGAGAGAGGAAAAAGCATGGTAAAAGCTGGACCCGGTCCCTGGAGCACAGCCCTACTGAGCAGGAGGTGGGATTATTCTGGGGTAGTTATGGAGAGCTATAACCTGGCAGCGGAGTGTTAAAGCGACTTGTCCCCGCTGGAAGAGGAACCCGCTGCCGGCACCCCCGGCGTCGCACCCCGCGTCGTGGTTGAGGGGAGGTCACTCAGGTCCTTCTCCTCCTCCTTCCCTTCTTTCTCCTTCCAGCGAACGACAGAAGAAAGAACTGGTACTCGGCTCTTGCCGGTGTTGGGAATACCGTGCCTTTTGCCTGGGATGATTTGCCCTGACGTGCCGCATCGACGGGATGTACAAAGTGCGACTGGGACTGATCCGGCCAACAAAGTTTGCAGAGCGATCAGCAGGGGCTCTGGGATGGAGGTAGCTGGGGCACACGCCAGCGGGGTCCCTCACGCATGGTCCGACAGCACAGACCGGCTGCTCCCTTGAAAACTGACTTCTGACGGTCAAACTCTGCTGGCTCCTGTTTATACTTCTCCCCTGCCAATTTGCACTTTCAGGAAAAAAAACCACACACACACACATCTGATGCAATGCAGTGTTTCTGTGTTGGTTTTGTATATAAGATTTGCTATGCAATTCCGAAACTAAAAGAGGAGGAGAGACGGCCCTGCATCCTAGAGCAAACAGAGAATCAGAGGTGAAAGGTAGGAGCCAGCATTTCTCGTTTAAATAAAACTAAATAATCTGAGCTACTTATTACTGAAAACCTTTAAAACACACCTACTGTATATTTATTTCCTTGGTCTTGGAAGTGTAAAACAGTTTGAAACAAAGTGAAGATTTGCTTTCTGATACTGCCCAGAAACAGAGAACTGATGCCTTTTGTAACAGGAGTGTTCCAAGGAGGGAGGATGGAGTGTTTCATCAGTGAGACATTTAAGAAACTAGAGAAAAAGCACCTCGTATAGTACGCTTCAGTAAATATGAAGGGCTAGTGCAATGGACACTGGAAACACTCGATCAATAGCCTATTTAAGAGGGAATATATGCAAGCATGGAAAAGTGATTGCTTTCCTGTCTGTGGGGTATATTTGCAGAGGACGGCAGCAGAACATTTGCAGGTGAGCTGTCTGAATTAGGCTACTTCATGCTGGGGTGGTGCAGTGTGTTTCTGAAGGGATTGCTTAAAAAAACACTCTGTAGGGTGGACTGGATTTGTGCATTTTCAGTTCCTGCTCATAGAGCTTTCAGTGTTGTTCAGGATGATTCAAAGTGGGTGAAGTCCATCCGGGGGCGAAGGGACCGTAAGAAAGGACCTTTGGTCTGTTTGGTGATGAGTAATTAAAGGACGTCTGATGTCTCTGATCCCTGCAAGGAAAGGAGCTGATGTCGTCATGAAAATCATGATATGATTTTCCCTCAGGAGAAACTATGACTTGGAACGACACCACTATGGACGGGGAAGGGTTGCTGGTGGAAAGGGACTCTTCCTTTCGGATCCTCAAGGGCTGCTTCCTCTCGCTACTGATCCTCTCCACGCTGCTGGGAAACACGCTGGTCTGTGCAGCTGTCATTAGGTTTCGCCACCTCAGGTCCAAGGTGACCAACTTCTTTGTCATCTCCTTGGCCGTGTCAGATCTCTTAGTGGCAGTTTTGGTCATGCCTTGGAAAGCTGTGGCTGAGATCGCTGGTTTCTGGCCTTTTGGTTCATTTTGCAACATTTGGGTGGCCTTTGATATTATGTGCTCAACAGCCTCCATCTTAAATCTCTGTGTCATTAGTGTGGACAGATACTGGGCCATCTCCAGCCCATTTAGGTACGAGAGGAAAATGACCCCCAAGGCAGCCTTCATCATGATCAGTGTGGCGTGGACTTTGTCTGTGTTGATTTCCTTCATCCCTGTGCAGCTGAACTGGCACAAGGCTACAACCACAAGCTTTTTGGACCTAAATGCCAGCTTACAAGGTGTAAGCATGGACAACTGTGATTCTAGCCTAAACAGGATGTATGCCATCTCCTCTTCTCTAATTAGTTTCTATATACCTGTGGCCATCATGATAGTAACTTACACGAGGATATACCGGATTGCTCAGAAGCAAATACGACGCATCTCAGCTTTGGAGAGAGCAGCGGTGCATGCCAAGAACTGCCAAAACACGAGCGGCAACAGAAGCAGTATGGACTGCCAGCAACCAGAGAGCAACTTCAAAATGTCATTCAAGAGGGAAACGAAGGTTTTAAAGACTTTATCAGTGATCATGGGGGTGTTTGTTTGCTGCTGGTTGCCATTTTTTGTATTGAACTGCATGATTCCCTTCTGCGAGCCTACCCAGCCGTCCAAGGGAGCAGAAGCTTTCTGCATTAATTCCACCACCTTTGATGTTTTTGTTTGGTTTGGATGGGCTAATTCTTCCCTCAACCCCATCATTTATGCCTTCAATGCTGATTTCCGCAAGGCATTTTCGACTCTGCTAGGATGCTACAGGCTCTGCCCTATGTCCAGCAATGCCATAGAGACTGTTAGTATTAACAATAATGGAGCAGTTGTTTTTTCGAGCCAACATGAGCCCAAAGGGTCCAGCCCCAAAGAGTCTAATCTGGTTTATCTGATTCCACATGCAATTATCTGTCCGGAAGAAGAACCTCTCAAAAAGGAAGAAGAGGGTGAACTATCTAAGACCTTAGAGAAAATGTCTCCAGCACTGTCGGGTATCTTGGATTATGAAGCTGATGTTTCTTTGGAAAAGATTAATCCCATTACACAAAATGGGCAGCATAAAACCTAAACAGTAAGGTTTACCCAGCAAGACCTAATAGTCTATATTGTAATAATCTTTAAAAAAAAAAAAAAGATACACAGGATTTTTTTTGGTAAGAAACTAAGCTCTAGGGAGAAATACACATTTACACCAAACCCAGAATTATTTTTTTCCTGGCATTCAAAGCAAATTTAACATTTTAAACAACAAACAGAAAAAGATACTGAAAATTGGTTAAGAAAAAGGATATTAAACTGTACTGTTCATACTGAGGAAAATATACAAATTTAGATACAGTGCAGTGACAAAGAAAATATTGCTGCTTCTCTACACAGAGAAACCAATTTCTAGCTTAAAATGAGGCAAAAGATAAATGTTAAGTATTTAAAGATTAATGTTTACTAGAAGTTAAAAGATTGCTGTGTCTTGTGATAGTGGGTGTTAACAGGTCCTAAAGACTGAGGGATTGTAAAGGTAGGTAGATGCCTTCTTAAAATTATTTCTGACAAATAATTGAGCCTTATAATGAGAATGGTTATTTTTAAAGCTTTGGGAAGTAATATGTTGATACTGGTTTTATTTATTTATTGTTTTAAATTGATATTTTTCATATGTTATAACAGATCTAGCTTTATTTATGTTATTTAAGATGTCTAAATAATGGGATATTTTTGGAGTGTCATAACTGCATTTTGACCACTCAACCAGTCAGCACTTTATTACAAGCTCTGATAGTCTGGAGAGCCGGTGGGGGGAATGAAGGAATGTTAAGAAGCTCAGCAAGAAATGAAGGAATCAACAAAACTGATGCTGTGTGGAGTTCGTTTGCTTGTGGGCTTTTTTTTTTTAAGTGGGATTTCTTTCAAAAGATAGGACCAGTGTTGACTGAGTTGTGAATTCTCTTCCCTGATAGAAATAAAAGAAATTGCTGCTATTTATTTTTAAAAAGTTTCCTGACAAAGACTTTGCTAGAATGTCAAGTTTGTGGATCTGTAAATACCTTAAATATGACTACAACCTTAAGAAGAATCCAATTTGAGAAGAAAAGCTTCTTAGGTAACAATTCTTATTATATAATGTTTTGTATTTATGTAAGATAAACAGCTTTCTCAGACTTTTCTTATTTCAAGTCTTGGATATCTTTTCTGAACAAACACAATTGGTTATAATGGTAGTAAAGATGCCAAACCTCATTATCATCTGTATTATTGCAGTGCCACTGGGATCATGCTGTCTGTCTGCTACTGTACCACAGTCAGAATTAAAAAGTGAGGTACCTAGTGCTTTACTTTGGAAACTAGAAGGACATTACATTTTAGTAATTACCATGTCAACAGTCCGTTCAATAAGGAATAGTGCCTCATTACTGTTTTGGATTAAGACATTTCTAAATACGGATGGAACTGCAGCCCCCACCTCAAAAATGTCCTGTGAGCTCCAAAAAAGGTTGCCAGTGTTTAATTAAAGAAATCTGCTACTTTTCCATTGTCCTTCCCTGCTGCTTTCCCTTTGTAATGCCAAAAGCAATCAGTGAATGTTAGCAATGGGAACATTGGGTGTTAATATTCAGCAGCGTTTAAAGAAAGCTATTTTTTTTCTGAATGGGAGAAAATACCCTTTGGAGCAACTTTTTCATAACATATATCAAAAAAAAAAGTGTTGTCAGGAAAAGAGAACTGAGAGGAAAAAAAGTTTAAAGTCTAATGAACTATATACATCCTGCATCAGGTCTGTGTATTTATGTATTGTGAATGTTTTCATAATTTTATTGCCTGTATGCTGCTTTCATACATATAATAAAATTATTTTGTGAACAGAAGGTCAAATAAAATGATCTACATTGCATTTATTAAATACATGCTGGTTTTTGGCAGTTGTATCATTGTGTTCAAGGCAAGGACAATTGGTTCCTCTTTTTCCATTTGCCCGTATTTGGGATCACACCTGTGAGGCAGGTGGGAATTTTTATTAGAAGCAGGAGAAAGTCCTCTCTTCAGGGAGACCTCTGAGCTCTTGCTCTACACTAGGATTTGAAAGCAGTAAACACAGTTTGGAAACAACCACACTCTGCTTTAATGTGACTAGTTAAAATGTGTAAAGCTCGACCTACTGGTGACTCTTATTTCAATGGGTTTTTTTTGCCTTGGTGGAACGAAGTAGTGAACATGGTTTATAGAATGCTTTTATTGTTG